TGATGATATGTCTTGGTGATTTTCTTTTGGGGTCTATCCTATTTGGGGTTTGTTGGATTTTCTGAATGGGTATATTTTCATCTTTCATCATATCAGGAAATTCTCTTCCAACAAATCTTTGACAGTTTTCTCTGTGGTTTTATTTGTGTCTTCCTGTTCTGGCATTCCGATTACATGTAGGTTATTCCTTTTCATGATACTCCTTTCTTCATTTTGTTTTGCTCTTTTTTTCCGATTTATCCCTTTCCAAAGAAGTGTTCAGGTATTTGCCTTCAGTCTCCCTAATTCTGTCTTCCATTGATTCAGTTCTGCTCCTTTGCCCATTCAGTGTCTTACCTATTTCTGAAAATTTAGTATTAGTCTTCTGGATTTCTTTGTGTAGATTTTGCATCATTTCTAATTTTTATTTATTTTATCATTTTGTTCTTGTATTGTCCTTCAAAATTGTTCTAGGGTTTTCTCTGTTTTCCTTGATCTGTCTCTCACAGGTGTTTTTCTTAGTTGAATAAAATCTGCTTAAAAAGTTAGCATACTAGAGTTAATGAAGATGAAGAATTAAGTAATTAAGCAGAGTAGGGCTCTACCATGAGCAGCTCTGGATACAGGGCCAGTATAGAGCAACTGAAGACTTTTGCATGGGTAGGAAATGAATTTAATGGCAGAAGGGGCATCCATTCACTTGTATTGATATATAATTCATAAGAAAAATGTGTACTTCATATAAGATTAGTACATAATTCATAGGTATAAACCAAAACCAAACCAAACCTTCTCCCATTGAGTCAATTCCAACTCATAGTGACCCCATTGGGTTCCAGAGGCAGTAAATCTTTATGGAAGTTGATTTCCCAGTCTTGCTTCTGCTTAGTGGCTGGTGGGTTTGAACCACCAACCTTTTGATTAGCAGTCAGATGCCTTAGTCGCTGTGCTACCAGAGCCCCTTATTCATAGGTGTAGTTCATTGATAAATATGAACTATATTGTTATTGGAGTTACCAAAACTGCAAAGTATAAGGGCATAGTACACGAGACTGCCCTCACTTCTAACACCAGCTGCAAGCCTGGAGGTTTCCCAGAACAACTCTTTCAGGTTAGATAATTTGCTAGAAGAACTCAGAGTGTACTGAAAGCTTTTGTACTCACAATTACAGTTTACTAAAGGGAAGGAATTCAGGTTGAAATAAACTAAAGGAAAAGACACATAGGAGGGTTCCAGAACACATTGTCCTTAGGATACATTACCCTCTAAGAATCAATCTTTGACAGTATGCACAGTGTATTGCCAACCAGGGAAGCTCATTAGTTTAGTGTCCAGAGTTTTTATTGGGGCTTCATCACATAGGCATGACTGATTATCTACGTGGTTGAACTCAGTTTCCAAGTTGATTGATCAGACATGACCAAAAGCTCCTACCCTAAGGCACATGGTTGGTTTCTCTGGTGTGCCTAGCCCTACCCTATGACTATTAGCTGTGTCTGGCCTCACCCTAATATATATTATAGTCAGTCCTGCTCCAAACAAAAGATACTCTGTCAGGTGGGACTTTGATTACCTCCCAGAAGCCTAGAGCAAAGGCCAGACCTCTCTGGGCAAAGTCAAATTCTTAATAGTTTATGAGAATTATTAGGAACCTGTACAATATATGAATGATCTATATTGTTGTTTTTGTTAGATGCCACCGTGTCATTTCTGATCCTTAGCCACCCCATGTAGAACAGAATAAAACAACGCACGGTCCTGTACCATTCTCTCAATCACTGACACAGTAGCTGCCCACTGTTGCAGCTACTGTGTCAATCCATCTTGTTGAGGTTCTACCGCTTTTTTGTTGATCCTCTATGAGTTATTCATAGCTCTGACAAAAGCAACTCTGAATAGTAGTCTTATAATATTTTTCCTTCCTTCTAGATTTAAACAGTCAAGTTAAATCGAGCTGGGTAATCATGGCAGAAGGTGGATTCGATCCCTGTGAATGTGTTTGCTCTCATGAACATGCGATGAGAAGGCTGATCAATCTGGTGAGATGAACAGAACAGTCCTCTTCAGAAATGAACTGTATCCCTTCTGTCCTTTTTTGTGAGAATATTGGTTATTGGAGGATTTCAATTTGCTGGTTACCAAAAAGTATAACTAAAATTCCACAGTGGTTTAAGTCATGTGGTTAAATGTTTGCCTACGATTGCTTTTATTGGAACTAAAAATAGATTAGTATTTCCATTCATGGTCGATTTATGCTGGTGAAATTGACTAAGGTAGGTAGCACGCACTAGTGTACAACTATTTATAGTGTACGTTGTCTTTAGCTGCCTAGAGCTTGTTTACTTTGTAAACTGCTATGAAGCCAAGGATTCTCTTATAATATGGCTCAAGTCCCATTTCAGCATATAACATGACAATAAACAACTGTTTAAAACGTTTCCAAATCCAAATCAGTTATTTGATAAAGGCATTTTTCTGAACAACAGGGTCTGGATACTATCATGGAATTGATTGTAGTGAGATTTTAATTGGAGAGTTTTTAAACTTGTCCTAGTATATTAGCTTAAATGCTATTGATACTATATTTTATCATCGATGATGGTCAGTAACAACAACAAAAAGGATTTTTTGTTGTTTTGAAATACTCTCATACAGGAGTATACACAGACCAGTTAATAAAGGCAGATACAAACATTTACTCAAATATTTGGGTGGTTGTTGTTAGGTACTGTCGAGTTGGCTCCAACTGATAGCTGCCCTGTGTACAAAAGAATGTAACACTGTCCAGTCCTGCACCAGCCTCACAATTCTTGCTACACCTAAGCCTATCATGGTAGCCACTGTGTCAGTACATCTTGTTGAGGGTCTTCCCTTTTTTGCTGAACCTCCACTTTAGCAAGCATGATATCCTTCTTCACGGAATGGCCCCTTTAGACAAATGACCAAAGTAGGTGTTCTGGTTACCTAGTGCCGCTCTGACAGGAATATAGCACAGATGGGATGGCTTGAACAAACAGGAATTTATTCTCTTACAGTTTGGAGGCTTTAAGTCTGAGTTCAGAGTGCTAGCTTCTAGGGGCTGGGTGAAACCCCTCAACCTTGGGCCTCAGCTTTGCCTCCTGCTCTTGGTCCACTGAAGCTAGAGGCTTTTCTTCACTCAGACAGCTGCTGGCTGCTGAGACTGACAAGGCCAAAGTTGACAAGTAAAAAGGCACAGTCCTGATGTTGCCAAACCACACGAAAGGCCATTAATTCAAGTCCATTAAAGGTCCCAAGATCGGCAGAGCATTGCAGGCTGCTGAACAACAACACGGCTACATGCAAGGTTCAGGTGTGCCATAAGCTAGAGACCGTTCCCCAAGGCTTCTCCTTATATACAGTAAGCAGAGCACATCCCTAAGGCAGCTACTCAGCTGCTCACATTAGATTTCACCATGGAGTTGATTACCAGTCTCATGATGGGGAATACTACATCCAGCTGCCCAGCCACTCAACCAGGCCCAGCCAAGTTGACATACAAACTTAAGTACCACAGTAGGTGAGATGAAGTCTGGCCATTCTCGCTTCTAAGGAGCATTCCAGCTGCACTTCTTTCAGGACAGATTTGTGCATTCTTCCGGCAGTCTATGGTACTTTCATTATTCTTTGCCAACACCACAACTCAAAAGCATCAACTCTTCTTCCATCTTCCTTATTCATTGTCCAGCTTTCACACGCATATGAGGCTATTGAAAACACCATGCTTTGGGTTAGGCGCACCTTAGTCTTCAAAAAGATATCTTTGCTCTTCAGCACTTTGAAGAGATCTTTTGTAGCAGATTTGCCCAGTGCAGTATGTCGTCTGATTTCTTCACTGCTGCTTCCATTGTCATTGATTGTGGAACCAAGTAATATGAAATCTTTGACAACTTCGATCTTTTCTCCATTTATTGTGATGCTGCTTATTGGTCCAGTTGTAAGGATTTTTCTTTTCTTTCTGTTGAGATGTAATGCATACTGCAGACCTTAGTCTTTAATCTTCTTCAGTAAATGCTTCAAGTCATCCTCACTTTCAGCGAGCAAAGTGGTGTCATCTGCATATTGCAGGTTGTTAATGAGACTTCATCCAGTCTTGATGCTTCTTGGACTATTTGTTCAGTATACAGATTGAATAAGTATGGTGAAAGCATGTAGTCCTACACACATTTTTCCTGATTTTGAACCTTGCAGTACCCCCTTGTTTTATTCTAATGACAGCTTCCTGGTCTATGGCCAGGTTCCTCATGAGCACAATTAATTGTTCTCGAATTCCCATTCTTCTCAATGTTATCTATAATTTATTATGATCCACATAGTGGGATGCTTTTGCATAGTCAATAAAACACAAGTAGACGTTTTTCTGGTATTCTTTGCTGTCAGCCAAGATCCATCTGACATCAGCAATGATACCTCAATCCACGTCCTCTTCTGTATCCAGCTTTCATTTCTGAAAGTTCCCTGTCAGTACACTGCTGCAATAATTTTTGAACTCTTCAGCAAAATTTTACTTGTGTGTGATATTAATGATACTGTTAGGTAATTTCCACATTCTGTTGGATCATCTTCCTTTGGATTTGGCACAGATAAGGATCTCTTCCAGTGGATTGGCCAGGTAGCTGTTTCCAAAATTTCTTTGCATAAATGAGTATGCACCTCTTGCATTGCATTCATTTGTTGAAACATCTCAATGGATATTCTTTAAATTATTGGAGTCTTGTTTTTTTTTTACCAGTTCCTTCAGTGCAGCTTTGACTTCTTCTTTCAATACCATTGGCTCTTCTTCTTCTTTTTTTTTTTTTTTAATTGTGATTTGGGTGAAAGTTTACAGAGAAAATTCACTCTCCATGCAGCAGTTCACATACACTTTGTCTCATGACATTGACTACAATTTACCCCAATGAAACAGCTTCCCTCCTACTTCCTCCCAATAGTTACTCTTCCCTGTATCCATCCCTGCATGCACTCCTGCCTCTTGAGCTGTCTCCCTGTACATAAACAACCATACTTTCTCCCATGATTGTTCTCTCCAAGGAGTGTATCTACCTCAGGTAAATGTTCAACTCATATGCCTGCCTGTCTTTTGTGTGGCTGGACACCATAGTTGTGGGTTCAGTTCCAGACCTGAAGGGCAGCTAGGGGCCATAGTCTCAGTGGTTCCACCAGGCTTTATCAGACCAGCAAACCTGGTCCTCCCCCACTTTTTTTTCCCCCAAAATGATTTTGAGTTTTGCTCCACATTGTTCTCCCTCTCTATCCAGGATCTCCTACATAGATGTCCCTTCGAGTGGTTGACAGTGGTAGCTGGGCACCATCTACTTCTTCTGGTCTCAGGGTGTACCAGTCACTAGGACTAATTGTTTCCATGAATCTTTAGTTTTCTTCATTTTTTCTTTGCTCTGGGCGAGGAGAGATCAATCGTTGCATCTAGATGGCTGCTTGCAAGCTTTTAAGATCCCAGTTGCTACTCGCCAAAGTAGGAGGTGGAACAATGTTTTGTGTAGTATGTTATGCCAATTGAGCATGATGTCCCCTGCAACTATAGTCCTGAGCCCACAGGTCCAACTACTCAGTCCCTCTGGGTAGCTGGCTGTGACCAAGAAGTGATTCCAACCTTGTCCCTTGTCAGTTCTACTATACACCTGGGAATTCCTACAGAACATACAAATACACTTGTAGAACCGTTGTCTGCCAACCCTATATATGGCCTTGGGTACACTCCCCACTTCATAGACACACGTAATAGTTCAGCCTGTCCACCCATCTGTCCACTCGTATACCCATGTTTGCCTTCACTGACAATGCAGTACACTGCTCTTTTTTTTTTTTTTTTTTAACTGTGATTTGGGTGAGTCATGCTGCTCTTTGAAACCTTCTGTTTAGCTCTTTTATCTTGTCATTTCTACCATTTGCTTTAGCTTCTCTCTGTTCAAGAGCAAGTTTCAGAGTCTCTTATGACATCCATTTTGGTCTTTTCTTCCTTTCTTGCCTTTTTAATGACCTTTTGCTTTCTTCATGGATGATGTTCTTGATGTCATCCCACAATTCCTCTGGTGTTCAGTCATTGGTATTCAGTGAATCAAATCTATTTTTTAGATGGTCTCTAAATCCAGGTGGGATATAATCAAGGTTATATTTTGGCTCTTATGGACTTGTTTTAATTGTCTTTAGCTTCAACTTGAACTTGCATATGAGCATTTGATGGACTGTTCCACAGTCAGCTCCTGGCCTTCTTTTGGGTGAAAATATTGAGGTTCTCCATCACCTCTTTCCACAGATCAAGTCAATCTGATTCCTGCTTACTCCATCTGGCAAAGTCCACATGTGTGGCTGCTGTTTTTGTTTTGAAAAAAGATATTGGCAAAGAAAGAGTTGTTGGTCTTACAAAATTCTGTCATTTAATATCCAGTGTCATTTCTATCACCAAGGCCATATTTTCCAACTACCAGTGATTCTTCTTTGTTTCCAACTTTTGCATTCTAGTCACCAGTAAAGATCAGCACATCTTGATTGCATATTTGGTCATTTCAGACTGCAGAAGTTGGTAAAAATCTTCAATTTCCTTGTGTGTGCCTTTGGTGGTTAATGTGTAAATTTGAGTAATGGTAGTATTAACTGGTCTTTCTTGTAGGCATATGGATATTATCCTATTACTGACAGCATTGTGTTTCAGGATAGATATTGGAACATTTTTTTTTTTATGACAAATGCCACTCTATTCTTCTTCAATTTGTTATTGCAGTGTAGTAGATTGTACGGTTGTCTGATTCAGAATGGCCGAAACCAATGCATTTCAGCTCTCTAATGCTTAGGATATCAATCTTTATGCATTCCATTTCTTTTTTCCCAATTTCTAATTTTCCTACATTCATACTTCGTACTTTCCATGTTCTGATCACTAATGGATGTTTGCAGCTGTTTCTTCCCATTTTGAGTCATGTGACATCCACAAATGGAGATCCTGAAAGCTATACTCCATCCACTTCATTAAGATTGACTCTATTTTGAGGAGGAAGCTCTTCCC